TTTTTTTTTAAAGCAAAAACTAAAGTCATCAAAAATCAAGTAGTTTAATAAGCATCAGGTGCAACTAAGCATAACGTGAGATGGCATGAGATCTGTGACCATGCTGTCTCACTGTGCAGAAAAGCTGTTTGGAGAATTTGCAAGCATGGGCTACTTCTTGTGTTTGCGTGTGTTTCATGTCCACACTTGTATTGGACCAGTCAGAAACTCTGATTTTATTCCTAAACAGTTTCATCCCTGAGGCATTTACTCATGGGGTTGGGTCTATTGTCTATTGACGACCCACATGTTTCCCTCAACGTGGCATGTTGAATAGAAGCAGCAAAGCACCCCCACGACGGATAACCTCCACCTCCATGCATGTTTTCTTTTGGGGGATTCTGTGTTTGGTGGGGGTCGAGACCCCCCACGTCCTCCAAACACTCAAAAGTGTACTGAGTCATAAAGTCAGATAGCTGGCAGTGGTTTTCTTCCTGCTGCAGAGTCATAAACACAGACCTTCCCTAAGGTGAGAGAGGCCTGAGGGGCCCCTTGATGGTCACTTAAAGGAAGTTGTTATCTTGCTTTTGGGGGAACTTTGGTAACTTTGCCTGCTGTTTGTAGACAATGGGTTAGTCTGTCTCAAATATTCAGATTTTTAGGTCATTTTCTGCTCACACACCTATGATTTGTCTTAAAATGATTTTTTTTCTCATAAATTTGAACCTTTATAATATTTCCTTTTAAGGTTTAGCTTTGTATACATTTCAGGACTCCTTTTGTTTTTGCACAATTAAATCTGAGGTAATGTTTGAACATGAATCCTGATTCACTTTTATTATACAAATCAGTTAAAATTTCAGGCTTTCATCTTAAATGATTTTTGAGATATTTATGTTTAAACATTGAGTGATATATGTATTCAAACTTTGGACCATAACGTTTTAGGCTCATCAGAGATGGGCGAGCAGGAGGCCCATGATGATCTTAGATGGAGGGGCCCTAATGCCTCTTACTGTGGACATGTGGAGGGACTCAGTGCCTTACAAATGTCTTTGTAACCTTTCATAGACTGATTATTTTAAATAAAAATTCCCCCAGTCACCCAGAGATCCCTGTCTGTTTACTGAACAGGGCTGTTACCAGTCAGGCCTGGGTGTGTCTTCCAGCTTAGCTAGTCAAATTAAAACAGGTTGGTAGTATTTTGGATTGAGCAATTAAGTAGGTGTGTGGGTACTTTTTTATTTTATGTAGTCAAACCGTTTCCTGCCACGTGCAATGTTTTTCTCTGTCTTGCTGTTTATTGCAGGTGATCCCTGCACCCGATTATATTTAGTCGAGCTGTGTGAGTGAGCGGTGGGAGGGGGCAGGATCAGGAACAGTAGTCTATAAAACCAGTGGATTTACTCGGGCTCCCATGAGAAGACAGTGAAGGAAGAGCACTCTGTACTTTTCTCCCCCCCTCTCATCAAAGCCACCTGTCTGCCCGGTCCCTCTGGAAACATGTCTAAGGACCTCCAACCAACCGTGGACCCCACGAAGATGGGGGTCGGACGATCCATCGCCGTGCTGACGTCAGGAGGAGACGCTCAGGGTAAGCAGAGGAATGAGGCTTTGCTTTATTTTGAGCATAAAATGATTCTCAGTGGAGGGTGGAAAAACGATCAGACAGCATCTTCTCCTGATGTGTCTGATCACTGAATCCCAGCAAGCTGTTGAAGTCCTCGTTTCTCTTTGTCTCGTGGATGCTAATAGAGTATCATTTTATGCTCTCACTGCACAGCATTTTAAATAAGATCAGAAGCCAGAGAATATAAAGGGCTAGCAACCTTTTTTCCAGTGCTGAATGACAGCTGTCAGAGGCTGACGGACTTTTGGCTGCAAGTCCCATTTGAAGTCCAGCACATGATAGGAGGATTACATCTTGGACTAACTCCACCATCAATGCCTAATGTTACACTGCTCGTAATGTCTCAGAGAAGAAGTGTGGTGGGGGTTAAAACTGATGAACTCAGATTGTTTAAAGGTTCAAGTTCAAGGTGTTATTATCATTGCTTTTATTCAAGTATAATAATGTGAACTACTTGAGGATCACAGTGAATATGAAACACTAAATACTAACTTTTCTCTTTCTCTCTATTTTTTGTTTTGCTTCTCCTGTGAATCCTTCTGGAGTTTTATCCGCCTCTTCTTCCCCTTGTGTGTTCCTTTATTTTACATATTTGGAGCTAATCTTAGTGGCAGTGACCTTTTTCTGGTATGGACAAGAGAAACACCCCCAACCACAGCTGCTGTCTATTGAAACAAGAGCTGCAACATGCCAGTCAGCTACAACACAAAGTCCCACAGTGGCCTTTAGTGTGCCGAACTTCAAGGGCCAAGATTATGCACAAGATGCACTTTTCCCTTA